TTTATTTATTTATTTATTTATTTATTTATTTATTCATTTTTGGAGAGGTTTTTGCTATAGGGCGCATGCACTCACCAGAGAGACAGAGAGAGACAAAGAGATAGAAAGCGAGAAATCACCTTCTAGCGGGGATGGCCACGCCGCAATCCATTCTCCTCTTGGGATCTTGGGCACGCACGCACACGCACCTGGCGTGAGTTTAAGCCACCGGGTCCAGGATTCAAACCACAGTCGACTACATGGGAGTCCAGCGACATAGCTATTATGCTAACTGCTGGTCACTGTTTCTTTATTTTTAATAGTATTTTTTTATTGAGGTGGAATTCACATAGTATAAAGTTAACACTTTTAATGTGAATAATTAGCGGCACCATTTAATACCACTATCCCTTTTTAGGTCCAAAACATTACATTCCCCCCTCCATAGGACTCTGTATACCCAGTGAACACTATCTCCCCATTCTCCCCATTCCCCAGCCCCCAGCAACCACCAATCAGCTCTCTATCTCTATGGATTTGCCTATTCTGACATTTCAGGTAAATGGAGTCATAAAACATGTGGCCTTTTGCTTCTTATTTCATTCCATGTCTTAGTCTGGTTTTTTGTTTTGTTTTTTGTTTGTTTGTTTGTTTTTTTTCTGCTGTAGAAAATAACACAGACTGGGTAATTCATAAAGAACAGAGATATATTGACCTTACAGTTCTGGAGTCTGGAAATCCAAGAGCATGGAGCCAGCATTGGGCAAGGGTCATCCCATCTGCAAAAGGCAGAACTGACCGTAAAAGACAGCAAGGGACTGGAGGCCAAACTTGCCCTTTCCCTGGACACTTCACAATAGCTAACCCACTCCCGTCAAACAGCATTAATGCCTCTGTGGGAGGGTAGAGCCCTTATTACCTAATCACCTCTTAAAGGCCCCACCTCCCAACACCATGACAGGGATGATTAAATTTCAACATGAGTTTTGGAGAGGACATTCAAACCTTAGCACTCAGTGTAAGGTTTTTGAGGTCCACTCACAATTTACCCCATTCCTTTTTATGGCTGTACATAAGGAGTCTTCAAAAAGTTCATGAATGGGAACCAGCAGTTAGCGTAATGGCTATGTCGCTGGCCTCCCACGTAGTCGACTGCGGTTCGTGTCCTGGACCCGGTGGCTTAAAACTCACGCCGGGCGCATGTGCGTGCGTGCCCAAGATCCCGAGAGGAGAATGGAGGAGAAGGGATTGCGGCGTGACCATCCCCCCTGGGGGGGGATTTCTCGCTTTCTATCTCTATGTCTCTCTCTGTCTGTCTGGCGAGCGCACGCGCCCTACAGTGAAAATCTCTCCAAAAAAAAAAAAATTTAAAAAAATTAAAAAAAAAAAAGTTCATGAAAAATGCATGTTAAGGAAAAACTAAATGTCTTTCAATATTTTTGCATCAAAGTAAACTCATATTTTAATTCTCTTTTCCTGAGCCAGCTAGTGGTATGATAGTTAAGTCAGCTAAATCCCACATGGCCAACGTGTGGTTTGAATCCTAATCCCCAACCCATTGGGGTTGGGCAGCAGGTGGTGTGGTGGTTGAAGCACTAAACTCCCACACAGCCGACTGTGGTTTGATTCCTGGACCTGGCAGCTTGCTTTCTCACTTCCCCCTCTCCCCACAATTCTCTGGTAAACACATATGTCCTATAGCAAATAAAAATAATAAGAAATAAAATAAATATAATGGTTATGTCACTGGACTCCCATGTGGTCAACTGTGGTTCATATCCTGGACCTGGCGGCTTGAAACTCACGCCAGTGCATGTGTGTGCATGCCCAAGATCCCAAGAGAAGAACGGAGGAGGGACCAGCAGTTAGCGTAATGGCTATGTTGCTGGACTCCCACGTAGTCGACCGCGGTTCGAGTCCCGGACCTGGTAGCTTAAACTCATGCCGGGCGCATATGGATGCGTGCCCAAGATCCCGAGAGGAGAATGGAGGAGAAGGGATTGCGGCGTGGCCATACCCCCTGGGGGGTGATTTCTCGCTTTCTATCTCTCTGTCTCTCTCTGTCTGTCTGGCAAGCACACGCACCCTATAGCAAAAACCTCTCCAAAAAAAAATAAAAAGAGAAGAACGGAGGAGAAGGGATTGTAGGTAGTGTGGCCATTCTTCTTGAGGGTGATTTCTCACTTTTTGTCTCTCTGTCTCTCTCTGCCTCTCCAGTGAGTGCTCAGGCCCTATAGCAAAACTATCTCTATTAAAAAATAAAATAAAATAAAAAAGGAAGAACATGTTGGGCACATGTGAACATGGCTGATCATGGTTCAAGTCCCAGACCTAGGGCTTGTTTGCTCACTTTCCCTCTCTCTTCCTCTCTGTCTCTCTCTCTGGTGAGCACATATGCCTTATAGCAAATTAAAAAATAATATAATAATTTTTTAAAATTTTCCCACAAACTTTTTGAAGGTCCCATGAATGTGTGTATCACATTTAAAAAATTTATTTAGCTATTAATAGAATTTTTCTTATATATATTGCATGCACTTGCCAGAGAGAGAAAGAGAAATAGTGAGCAGTTACTCCCTCAGGGGTGGGAGGATGGCTACACTGCAGTCCCTTCTCCTTCTTCTCACAAGGTTTTGGGCATACATGCGCATGCACTCAGAATGTTTTTCAAGCCACTGGGTTCAGGATTTGAGCCATATAGTCAGCCAGGTGGAATCCAGCTTTAACTACCACACCACTGGCTGTCTCTGCTACAAAACTCCTAAAAGGAAACATGGGGAAGCGCTTTATGACCTTGGATTTGGCAGTGGTTTCTTGGATAACACATAAAAAGCACAAGAAAAAAAGTAGATTAACTGGACTACATAAAAAATTTAACGCTTGAATTGTCAAAAAATGCACAACCAGTAGAGTGAAAAGACAGCCTATAAGAGCCGGCAGATGGCATGGTAGTTGAGGCGCTGGATTTCCACATGGCTGACCATGATTCAAGTCCTGGACCTGGCAGCCCAAAAATCACAGCAAATAAATAGATAAATAAATAGATGTTAAAATAAATAAATGTTTAGGGGGAAAAAAGACAGCCTACAGAATGGGAGAAAATATTTGCAAATCCAATAAAGGACTGATATTCAGAATATATTTTTAAAAACTCTTAAGAGTTCAACAACCAAATAAACAACCCAGTTTTTCTTATTTTTTTCCCAAAGCTTATTGATATACTTCTTTTATGAGAGAGAGAGAGAAAGAGAGAGACCCCTGGCAAGGTTCTGCCATGCCATGATCCTCCACCAAGCTTTCCAGCCAGGATCAGGTTGGCCATGCAGCAATCTCTTCTCCATTCTGCTCTTAGGGTCTTGAGCACACATGCACATGCGCCTGGTGTGAGTTTTAATCCACCAGTTCTGGGACTCAGACCGTGGTCGACTACATGGGAGTCCAGAGATGTAACTATTACGCCATCTGCTGATCCCCCAAAAACCCAATTATTATTATTATTATTTTTTTGGAGAGGTTTTTGCTATAGGGCGCTTGCGCTCGCCAGACAGACAGAGACAGAGAGACAGAAAGCGAGAAATCACCCTCCCCTGGGGGAATGTCCACACCACAATCCTTTTTCCTCCATTTTCTTCTCGGGATTTTGGGCATGCACACATATGTGCCTGGCATGAGTTTTAACCACCTGGGTCCAGGACTTGAACCATGGTCAACTACATTGGAGTCTACTGACATAACCATTACACCATCTGCTGGTCCCCCAACAACCCAGTTTCAAACATGGGCTAAGGACATAGCCCAAAGACATTTCTCCAAAGATATACAGTCAATAAAACATGAGAAAATGTTAAATATTGGGGCCAGCAAGTGGTATGGTGGTTAAAGGCGCTGGACTCCCACATGGCCGACCACAGTTCAAGTCTCGGACCTGGTGGCTTGCTTTCTCACTTCCTCTCTCTCTCTGATCAAACTGCAAAATAATAATGATAATAAAAAATAAAGTTAAATAAAATAATTATTATAAAAAGAAAATGTTAAATATCACCAATCATTAGGCAAATGCAACTCAAAGCCACAATGAGATACCGAGATACCACTTCACACCCATTAGAATGGTTATTTTTTAAAAGAATTATTTATTTAACTATATTTGCTTTTTTTTTTTTTTTTTTAACTTGCTATATAGGTCACGTGCACTCACCAGACAGAGAAAGAGTGGGAGAAACAAGCCTCCAGGTCCAGGACTTGAACTGTGGTTGAGTATGTGGGAGTCCAACACTTTAATCAACATGCCACCTGCTGGCTCCTAAAATGGTTATTATGAATGGAAAAAAAAATACAAGTTTTTGCAAGGATGCAGAAAAATGGAACACTCATACATTGCTGTGGGAATGTAAAATAGTGCAACTACTGTGGAAAACAGTATGCTGTCTCGAAGAACATAAACAATGAAATTACCGTCTGAAGGGCTGGGGGAAGGGCATCCTGGCATGATGGACCCTGTCAAGGGTGTGTCTCTGTCTTTCTCTCATCTTCCCCTATCTCGTGCACACATACTACTCACAACAATCAAAAGGTAGAAGCAACTCAAATGTCCATCAATGAAAGGATAAATAAAATTTGTTCCTTCCATTCAATGGAATTTTAGCTTTAAAAGGGAAGGGAATTCTGACACATGCTATACCATGGATAGACCTTAATGACATTATTCTAAGTGAAATAAATAGGCCAGTCACAAAAGGACAGATCTTTTTTGATTCCACTTATATGAGGTCCCTAGAGTAGTCAAATTCACAGAGGCAGGAAGCAGAATGGTGGTTGCCAGAGCCTGGGAGGGGAGATGGGGAATTACTGTTTCATGGGGACAGAGTTTCCGTTTGAGAAGATAAAAAAATTCTGGAGACGGATGGTGGTGGTGATTGCAGAGCAATGTGAATGAATGTAAAATTACTAACAATACACTTGAAAACAGTTAAAATTATAAATTTTGTTATGTATATTTTACCACAATCTATTTTTATTTGAGGGAGTTTTGATACAGAAAACATGCACTTGCCAAAGAGACAGAGAGACATAAAGCAAGAAATCACCCCAGAGGAGTTGGTCACACCGCAATCCCTTCTCCTCCAGTCTCATGATTTGGGGCATGCATGCACACATGCCGGCCGTGAGATTCAAGCCACCAGGTCTGAGATTCAAACCACAGTTGCTCACATGCGAATCTGGCATCTTAGCCATCAAGCCAACTTCTGGCCCCACTATAATCCAGAAACAAATGAACAAGTAGCTCCTTGAGGACTTCCTCTTTGTTATTGAAAGATCAAGGCCAGAGTAGCGAGAATGCCATATGGCCTTTGGACCTCATTCCTAGATCTGCACCCTTTAGTGAGACACATGTGGCCAGCCCTGTTGTTTGGGGACCACGTACTGAAGTTCCAGTGACATCTGGTGTCAACACAGGGAAAACTGACACATGTTGGTCACCCAAGACACAGCCTAGCTCTCCCCATCCCCACTGGTCAGAGTACCACATCCTTATCTCTTAAGGTGACTATCCCAGAGATCACAGGCCCGGCTCAGGGCATTTTCTTTGGGCAGAAGAAGGCCATTTTCTCAAACCCACATTTGAATGAATCCTTTTAGCCCATCTGAGCCTGCTCCCAGCCTACCACCCTGGGAAGAGGGTAGCCCTACCTGCCCTCACGTCTGCCAGTCTGGGGCTGCCTGGCTTGCTCACTGGGCCTCTCCCCAGGCTGGACAATGGGTGCGAGGCCCCCAAGTGGGGATGTTTTTTTTCCTGTGACTGCTTCTTGACCTTACCAAGACATTTCTTGTTTTCCCCACTTTTAGATACCACAGTCTGGCTGTCTTTGACTGGAAGCTTTGTAGTTCTCCTGTGTCCTCTGATCCTTGTCTGTATTGTAAGAGCAGTTGAGTTCTGGACGAATCGTCATTTCTATAACGGTACTAAGAACTAGACGGGAACAAGTGACAGCGGGGCCACAGGCAGGCTGCGGGGGAACCTGGTTTACAGTAGATCTGGGCTGCTCCTCACTTGTACAGGGTTCTCAAGAGGACAGGCCCTCCTTAAACATGAGGAACTTCCAAAAGGGAAGTGAGGGTACATTCTTGGAGTTATCATGGTGCTCCTAGTGGTGAGCCCAGACACCTGTGGCAGAAGGACAAAGCATGACTGGGTCCTGGCACAGGGTCCCCAAAGCATCTCTGAGGAGGACCTGGGCTTGGGGTCAGGCACGTCAGTGCAGGCTCATGGGGAAGGGCAAGCGGGTTGCTTTGTGAAGCAATGGCTGGGCACTTGAGGTACAAAGAATCTCGGATGGACCTCTTGGAAGGTTCGAGAAACTGTGAAAGCAGGTAACTGTAGGAAGTGAAGTATGGCCAGGCTTATCCAGCAAGTTCTCTGCAGGGTGACCCTGACATAATTCCAGGCCTAGGGAGGGGTGTGATGGCTCCCCAAGACATCAGGTCAAAGGTAGAATCTGGCACCAACTGTTAACCATATGTTGTCTGTCTGTCTTCACAGGAGATCTTGAAGAGAGAGAGAACATGGTAAGCACAGACCCAGGGCCTGGGCACTGGCCTCCCATCTCTGTCTTTGTCTTTACTCCCACATGTAATGGGCCAATGTTACTATGTAGGAAATAGAAGGTGATTATGCTACACCAAGAATTTCTCCATACACTCTTCCCTGTTCTAACAATCCGTGTCTACAGAGACAGTAGTGCACTGTATGGAGAGTGAGTTAGGTTTCTTTATTTGAAAGCTCCACATTTTATATTTCCTGTCCAGTTTTGTACTGGCTAGAACACCCAGTGAAGTGCTGATTATCAGTTATGGCCACCCTATGAAAGCTTTGTTTATTTCTTTTCTAAGGGTTTTCATAGATTAGGGAATGTCTGTTTCTTCAGGGGTGCTAAAACTCACAGGTAAAACTATTGGGTCACCAGAAAAATCATGATGGGTTTTTGCACAGAGAAACAGAGGGACCAGCAGAGGGCATAGTGGTTATGTCGCTGGACTCCCACATATCAACTTCAGTTCAAATCCCGGACCCAGTGGCTTGAAATCACACCAGGTGCGTGTGCATGCATGCCTAGCATCCTGGGAGGAAAATGGAAGAGAAGGGTTTGCAGCATGGCCATCCCCCTAGAGGGTGATTTCTCATTTTCCTTCTCACCGTCTTCTGTCTGACTCTGGCAAGTGTACACACCCTAAGGCAAAAATCTCCAGAAAAAATAAAGAAAGAAAAAGAAAAGAAAAATACACCACAACTTTTCCAACGGCCCAATGGATTACTTCCCTATCACAGCCATAACAGCTATGGTAATAGATTAAGTGGCTTAAAACAACACACGTGTATTCTCTTCTAGATCTAGAGGTCAGAAGTCTGCGACCGGTTTCACAGGCTACCATCAAGAGTCCGAAGAGCTGGCAAACAGGCTCTGGGAACCTATTCACTTACCTTTACGATGAATGCAGACTGCCCATCTGTGCACTGAGTTCCAGAAAACAAATGGAAGAACTTCATAAACTCATCGGGATTCCAGGAATACAAAACAAAGAAAGATATGTGGAGTTAAGAATATTGGGACCAGAAAACCAGCAGTTGGCATAATGGCTATGTTGCTGGACTCCCACGTAGTCGACCGCAGTTCGCATCCCGGACCCGGTGGCTTAAAACTCACACCGGGCATGTGTGCGTACGTGCCCAAGATCCCGAGAGGAGAATGGAGGAGAAGGGATTGCGGCATGGCCATCCCCCCTGGGGGGTGATTTCTCGCTTTCTGTCTCTTTGTCTCTCTCTGTCTGTCTGGCGAGCACACGCGCCCTATAGTGAAAATCTCTCTAGAGAAAAAAAAAGAATATTGGGACCAGCAGATGGCATAATGGTTACATCACTAGACTCCCACAAAGTTGACCATGGTTCAAGTCCCAGACCTGGAGGCTTAAAACTCAGGCCATGCGTGTGTGTGTGCGGAACTAAGATCCCGAGAGGAGAATAAAGGAGAAGGGATTGTGGTGTGCCATTCCTCCCCTCCGGGGGGTGATTTTTCACTTTCTGTCTCTCTGTCTCTCTAACAAATGCACACACCTTATAACAAAACAATCTCTCTTTTAAAAAAATGATATGCCACCCAGGGCTAACAGATTGCATGGTGATTACGTCACTGGACTTGCATATGGCCGACCACGGTTTATGCTATTTTTAATAGAATAATATATTTTTTATAGATAAGTATTTTGGGCACAATAAATTGTTTAAATTAGTATAGGAAGACCTTATTTTAGCCGCCCTGTTAAACTTTCTTCCTTCATGCTGACTTTTCAGGTGTTTTCTGGTTATAGCAATATCATTTCTTAATTTTCTTGTGTGTGGGTGTGAGAGGTTTTTGCTGCAGGACACATGCACTCGCCAGAAAGACAGAGACATAGAGACAGAAAGCGAGAAATCACCCCCCGGAGGGATGGCCACGCCGCAATCCCTTCTCCATTCTCCTTGGGATCCTGGGCATGCACGCACATGCGCCCAGCATGAGTTTAAGCCACTGGGTCCGGGACTCGAATCGCGGTCGACTACATGGAAGTCCAGCAACATAGCCATTATGCTAACTGCTGGTCCCAGCAATATTATGTCTAAAAAGAGTTTCTTTATTTTCAAGTCCTTTTTTACATTTCACTATAAATACATGTGAAAATTTTAGAAAGTATATTAGCTATCTAACTATAATCCTACTTTTAATTTAAAATAATATATTATGATCAAGTTGGCTTTATTCTAAGAGTGCAAACAGAGTTGAACTCAATCAAAGCTTTTTATACAGTTCACTACAATCTTACTGTTATGCTGCTAAACAGGAGTCTGACACTAGATGACTTATACAGAATTGAGGTTTATTTACCTCTTTGTTCTGGTGACTAGCAAGTCCAACAAATGGAACTGGCATCCGGTTGGCCCCTGGTGCTACTTCACAACACAGCCAACCGAAGCAGAGAGGCGGGCGGGTGTATATGAGGAAAGAGGGAACAAAATTTCCCCTTCCTCTGTTTGTCCCTCCCATGCCCCCAACCACATTGAAAGGAGGTCTCTCAAAAAAAAAAAAAAAAAAAAAAAGGAAAACATACAGAAAACAAGAAATGGAAAATTATTTGCTGACAATAACATGTTTGTTGATGTGCTTGATTGAGACAATATACAGTGTACTCTGGATGAAAAATCTCATTTTGTATGCTGTAATGATGTACAATGAATGAATGCAAATAAATTTAAATTAAAAAAAAAGAAAAAAACCCCTACTATAAAAAAACTTTAAAAAAAGAAAGGTGGTCTTTCAGTTTGTGCCTTCTCACAGAGTGAGAACTCACTCCTTATTAGAGAGCACTAATCTACTCATGAGGGCACTCTCCCCTGATCCAGACACCACCCACAAGGCCTCACCTCTCAAAGATCTCATCACCCTCGGGACCAGTAGTTAGCGTAGTGGCTGTGTCACTAGACTCCCATGTAGTCGACTGCAGTTCGAGTCCTCGATCTGGTGGCTTAAATTCACGCCAGGCACATGTGCGTGCATGCCCAAGATCCCAAGAGGAGAATGGAGGAGAAGGGATTGTGGCATGGCCATCCCCCCTGAAAGGTGATTTCTCACTTTCTGTCTCTCTGTCTCTGTCTTTCTGGCGAGCGCATGCACCCTATGCCAAAACCCTCTCCAAAAAAAAAAAGCTCTCATCACCCCCAATGCCATTACACTGGGGACCAAATTCCAACCCATGAGCCCTTGGGAGAAAAGCCATTATCAAGATAAGAGGAGAAACTTCTAGAGTTGCTTGGAGTGATTAGAATATATATGGTAAAATTCATTAGATTATTATTACTTTAATTATAGAGATTTTTGCTATAGGATGCATGCACTCACTGGAAAGAAAGAGAGACAAAGTGAGAAATCACCCCTCAGGGGGAGTAGTCATGACGTAGTTCCTTCATTTTCTCTGGATTTTGGGCATGCACACGCACCCAACCTGAGTTTCAAGTCTCCAGGTCCAGGACTCAAACCGTGATCAGCCATTGTGGAAATGCAGGGACATAACCATTATGCCATCTGCCGGTCCCAGCTAATACTTTTTATCCTTGTTTAGACTCTAACGAGGGGGACCAGCAAATGGCATAATGATTACGTTGCTGGACTCCCACATGGCCAACCACAGTTCGAGTCTCGAACCCAGAGACTTGAAACTCACACCAGGTGCCTGTGCATGCCTGCCCAAGATCCTGAGAGGAGAGTGGAGGAGAAGGGATTGTAGTGTAGCCAACTCTCTGGGAGGTGATTTCTCGCTTTCTGTATCTGTTTCTCTCCAGTGAGCACACATAGCAAAAATTTCTCGGAAAAAAAAAAAAAAAAAAAGTCTTAGCAAAGTGAGGTTAGAAGGAAACAGCTTTAGCTGGCCCATTAGCCTAGTGGTTAAGAGAGCTGGATTCCACGTGGCCAACTGTGATTCAAATCCCAGCCCTGGTGGCTTAAAAAACACACTGTGTATGTATGCCCAAGTTCCACAGGACAGGACTGCAGCATGATCATGCCCTTTTGGGGGTGGGGGTGGGGGCTTTCTCCCTCTTTCCTCACTCTCTCTTTGAATTTTGCACATGCTCTCTGGCAATGAAGAAAAATATTAAAGGAATACCTCAAAGTAGTAAAAGGTCATATCCAAAAAACATGCAATGGGAGTTGTCAGAATGGAAATGGAGTCATTTGTGTTAGCTTGTGTTCAATCCTGATCAAACCGACTGGAAGAAGACAACAGAGGGGGCGATTCTCACACAAGTATACCTCATAACAAGAACTGCCTCAAGGACTGCCGGAACCACGGCCTTGCGTGAAGACCACAACCCAACACAGGACTACTTGTGCAAGGACATCTGCCCAGAGACTGCCCGTCCAACCTGGCGCTGACACCACCCGTGTCATTGATGATTACGGCTAAGCAATTGTCCCAAAGCGTTTTATGTAATCCCTTATCGTTTCCCTTTATAAAATCTTTATCTCCCTGAATAAGGCCCTGGTTTACTGTGCCACCGTGCACTGGTTCTTGAATAAACATTTTTCTTTCTTTTTTTTTTTTTTAAAGAATTACTTATTTAATTGTATTTATTCATTCATTTATTTTAATTTGCCCAGATAGAGAAAGAGAGAAAGAGAGAGAAAGTGAGAAAGCAAGCCACCAGGTCCAGGACTTGAACCATCCTCAGCCATGTGGGAGTTTCCAGTACCTTAACCACCATGCCACCTGCTGGTCCCCATCGAATAAATATTTTTCATTGAGAGACTTTCTGCTTCTTATTCAGGGGTTGACAATACAATCAAAATTATTCTTAAGAGAAGTTTAGATGTATTCTCTCTCTTTTTTTAAAGCACAAATAGTAAAATTTTTGTTAAAAATGTATCTTGGAGAACATGAATAGAATTTTTTTTTATATGTAACTATAGATTAAAGTGGCATATTGATAGTCTGAGATAAGGTTCAACATTACCTCTGTTCTGATCTCTAATTGGTTTTTTTCCCCTATTTATTTATTTATTTTTACATTTTCCCACCAACACTTACTTTACATATCAAAAAATTTTTGCTCATACTCCATAGTTCTTGACTGTTAATAAACAACTTTCAAAATTTCAAGAAAATGAATTTGAAAGATAACATTCAAAATATTTGTTATAATTTTGTTTGTGACTCAATAACAGAGACAGTATGGTTTTAAATATTTTTGAGAAAATATTTACATGTCAACTACTCAAACTTGCAAAGCGAACATCCAGCACACAAGTCACACATAAACCTCAATTCAGCCCTGCCTACCAAGTATTCTATGAGATACCATCTGCTAGCAAAGATCAGTCTCTTTTTCTTCCCTCAAAGTCTTACTCAAAATAATCCTCTGGTTGCGGCTGCTCTGTGGCAATCTCTACTGATTATAATGCTGGGCTGAAAAAATCCAGGTTATTTTAGGGTATGAATTCTTTCATATAGCTTCTCTAATCCTCCCTGCCTGGCAGAACTGTTTATGGTGCCAGACCATCTTTCCAAGAGTTTCTATTGGCTTACTTGAGACCTACCTTAGTTCCATAGCTTTTTGGTTTAATCTTCAGATATGATGTTCCAATCAAAGGCCTGTCCAATAACAAGTATTTCCAATTTCTGATTCAAGGCAACAGGTATTATTGAACTTATGCAAATAACCCTTCTGCCACAAAATAAGAATACTCCCAAATATTTTCCAATTCCAGAGGGATCAGGAAGGGAGAAAAGTTTATGTTCCTATTTAAAAAAACAAACAAGAAGAAAAAACATTTAAACAAATCGCTAAACCTACCAACAGCTCAAAAGAAAGCAAAATCCCAGGGCTGGCAGGTGGTGCAGTGGTTAAAGTGCTGGACTCCCCAGTGGCCGACCACAGTTTGAATCCCAGACCTGGTGGCTTGCTTTCTCACTTTCCCTTTCTCTCCCTCTGTGTCTCTCTCTTGTCAACTTAATAATAATATCAAATAAAATAATAAGTAAAATCTGTAAATTGGGAAAATAAAGCATAGTAAAGAAAAAGACAGTAATGTTTTACTCAAAAGTCATGAAATTCT